TGGAGGAGATAATCAAGAGGCCATGACCATCAGGTGACCTAAGAACTGGACTCGGGCAATCAGGGCCTCCTCACCCCCGCCGCTGTGCTTGACATGCACTCTCTTCCGATGTTCCCATAATGAGAGCCATTTTTAAGGGCTCACCACTGAGAGAGTAAGGTGTCGCTGTACCCATCTGGATGGTATATATAACTGAATGTAGTTAAGGCCTCTATATAAACTTTTTTAAGTTTTGGCAGGTGGGTGTGGAAAACTCCATTTTGTGGCCGACTAAGATGAACCTTGTGAGTTCCTTGCTCATCAAAACTGCCACCTATGAACCTGGAGTGGTCTGCCTCTTTCTTTGGTCTCTCCTTGCCCTCTGTGTACAGGGTCCAGTTTCAGATTCCACTCAGGAAGCTCCTGAGGTTGCCAGCAAACACCTATAGAGTCCAGCTTAGGAAGAATCCCCCCACCTTCATCCTAACCAAGTTCTCTTAGTGATTTTTCCATTCACTGACCCCCTCACGCTTCCCTTTGGCTATAAATCCCCAGCTGCCCCTGTTATATTCAGAGCTGAGTTCAGTCTTTCTCCCCCATTGCAGTAATCTTGAATAAAGTCTTCCTTGCCCGCTTCACTTCTGTATGGTGCAATTTTTCTTAAACAGATTCATCTTTCAGTGTCAGACGGTCACTGGGTCCCGTATTACCAACTGCCCATGGTTAGAATAGCCGTGTCTTGGTTGAACTGAGATAGTCTCCATGCATGGTGGACACAGGAACAGAATCATCAATGTTGCCCCTTTCCACTGTCGGAAGTATCCTCGTCTGGACGAGAAATCTTATGGTTACCCACATATGGTGTGAAATCTATGGGTCAGAGGCCCTCAGTGACAAGGGAATCTGCTGCATTTTAAAAACGGTGCTACAACCCTGACCAGCATGACTCAGTTAGCGGAGTGTCCTCTGCAAAATGAAAGGCCACAGATTCAGCTTTCGGTCCGACTCCCAGTCAGGGAACATGCCTGGATTGTGGGCTGGTCCCCAGTTGGGGCAAGTGGGAGGCAACTGATTAATGTTTCTCTCATACATTGATGTTTCTCTCCCTCTCTTTCTCCCTTCCTTCCCCTCTCTCTAAAAATAAATTTAAAAACAAACAACAGAGCTACAGCAATTACAAAGGACAAAGGAGCAGATTCATTAAATGAAGACACTCTTTTTGATCCTGACTCCTGAGGTATTGTTACATCTGATTACTAACATTTTATGTCCAAATTAAAATGTTTCTCCACAAGGAAAAATGATTATTTTCATCACATCTCTCAACCATATTCACATATCGCCTTTATTACGCCTTGCCTTTGATCGCTACAGATGGGTTTGTCACAGCGCATTTACCCAGACTGTGACAAGCTTTCCAGAGTGGGAGGGAAGGAGGAAGGGAGGAAGGGAGGAAGGGAGGAAGGGAGGGAGGAGACAGAGAGACAGAGAGACCAGGAAGGCCAGTGTGGTACGGACCCTAGGAAAAACAGAGGAGACTAGGGAATCAGTACTGAATTCCCTGGTGAACTGAATTAAAGGACTGAAATGAATTTACAAACCAACAATAGAAGCTGATTATCCTCTTAACAAGTGGGGAGGCATCAAGACGGAGATGTGTGTTCACCTGCTATGGGGAGGGGGCAGGGCAGGACAGGATAGGAAGGAGCTCCCTAAAGCCTCTCAGTGGGAAACACTGGGTTTCTTAATTGTCTGTTGTCCAGAAGCCAAAGGAGAAAATCCGTCATCACGGGGAGAGGTGTGCCGAGTGGTTTTGAGCAATGGGTTTGTTAGCTCCTTCCACTTACCTTGACAATACCTGTCAGATGCCCTCATCCTGCAGAGCTTTCCCAGGACCCAGGAGGTAGGGGGAGAACTGCAGGCCCTTGGGTGGGCTCTCAGGCATGAATGCCCCGGTGGGGTGAGGCTGGAGGGGAAAGGGTTGGATCAGACAATCTCCAAAGTTCCCTCCTGCCAGAAGGTCTAAGATTCTGTCCTCCAGTGGACTCTCAACATGGATCTGTTAACCCCATTGTACAGGCAGAAAGAGTGAAAAGAGGAGAGAGCAAGTTCACTGAAAAGGAGCTGGATGGAGCATCTTGTCCTGTGGGATTAGATTGTTGATTCAGAAAAAAACAACCAAGGCCACCGGAAGGATGCTCTACGAAAACCTCGGCCCCCAGTGAGATGCTGGCCCTGCAGAGTCACAGCACACGGGTGCTGGTTAGAAATGCAGGTTCTCAGGCCCCACCCCAGAGTCTGCTTTCAACAGGACCCGCAGTGACCCATATGTACTCTAGAGTTTGAGAACCACTGGCTGGAGCCATGGATTACATTGTGAATAGCCACACTCTAAAAAGCACTTACAACTATGAACTAGCTTTTGACAGAGAATTCAGGTGCTTTTAGGAAATCAGGCCAGCTTTCCAAGCACAGAGGCATCATTTCCCACACCAGAACCCTCTACCAAATTACTAAACGTACATTTTTTACAAAGTGAGTTTAAATCTGATAAGAATAATAGAAAAGAGAACTCCATCAATTTCAGGCTGAAGATCAAGCTCCCACCCCCCCTCCCCCTCCACTTTCTTTTCTTCTCCCTGGATCTCCGGTACACAGATTTGTACTGATAATAACCTTGGATGCACAGCACATTGTCAGTGTCTTTAGGGGAGGACACCAGCCTCGTCTGGGCGGAGATAAGAAGTGTGTTTGGTCTGGGTCGGCACAGCCACGTTTGCTCTTGACTTATAACTGCGTTAGCTAGGAGTCTCACAGGGAACCTCTCTCCCTTCAAACTGGGAATACTCAGTTCTGATTTTATCTTATTGACGATACAACCAGGACGTGACAACTAAGCATAAACCTGTGTTAATAATTTTTCTCTTTTCTTTGTACCTGGAACAGATACTGCAGAAATCATTTGGCATGACGTACAGTTTTGATTAGGTCTAATACATGGGTAGTTTTGGGATATGCTTGCAAAGAAATAGGGAGGATTCAGTTGAAGGTTTTAGATGAACCATATCAAATTGCTATTTTTATAGGATAAAAAGAGTAAAATAGTGGCAATTTCTTTTAGTCAACCTAATTAGAATGTTTTAGTTTATAATTCTTTGACCTGAAAAATATTAAGAGAATTGAAAAGTGGTATTTGTGGAGGCTGGGTTGTTCCTTCTCCTTGGAGATTTTTTTCGGAAGTTGGGGCAAGTGCTTTGAAGGCCAGATAAACATTTGTTCTAAGCAGCCAGGGAGAAATGGGAGGTTCGGAGGTCAGGTTTGGCTATGGCTTTAGGATGAATGTACGTAACTTTGAAGGAGGCTTATCGCCTTCTGAATCTGTGAAATATGTAAATATTGCAAGGCATGAGACCTTGACACACAAACTGGGTTTCCTGTCCACTTCCTTGTTACAGGCATGTGCACTCAATACTTGAACTCTGAAAGGAGTAAGGAGAGATTTTCCCATGATCGAGTCAACACCACGCTTTAGCTAGAATGTGGGGGAGGAAGAGTCAAAGTGAAGCAGGAGGATCCAGTCCCTTTCTCGGTCAGTCCCCACCACCGTACTGCGGGCACACTGTGTCCCCTGGTCCCGGGGTACGCATGGCTCCATGAGAGCCCGTCACGGTGCAGTTATGGGGCTGAGTGGCAGGTCTGGGACCACACCTCAGGGAGCAACACAGGAACCACGTTTGTGACGGTGTGCCTAGTGCCTTTAAGGGAGCTTGGTGCACAGTGGGCATTAAGGCCTGTTTTACCTCAAATTTAAAGTTTGTTGAATAAATTATGACTTTTAATAACCATTCACAGTAACAGAAATTGAAGACACTGCCTGAGAAATCTTTGTGGATTTGGAAACCAATTTGCCAATAAATATCAAGGGTCATATCCTAAGAGCCAGTAATCATAAGATACTTATCTTAGAAAAGGGTCTAAAATTTGAAAATAAGATTAGGTTAAAAAACATTTATGTCAGCATCACATATGAGTTGAAACGATGTTAAACAACCTAAGAACCCAAGAGTTAAGTTATAGAGAAATTAATATTTTTGGAAAATTTGATGACATTGGAAGATGCTCAGAAGTGGGAGAGAAAAGCCAATGCACCATGTCCTGCTTTTTTTTAACTGAGCAGCACATTACAAAAGTGTCCCAGATTACTCAACATGCTGCCAAACTTCCGTGTGTCATGACTATGGAATATTCTTCTACTGGATGGGAATATAGTAAGTTATTAACTATGTTTCATAAACACACATGTACACACACACACTACAAATGGGACCACTTCACGCCCATTGTTGGGCACCTTCCTTTTCTCCGTTAGCTATACAATCTCGAGAGCTCACCGCACGAGCACACACAGACCTTCCTCAACTCTTTTTAATGCCGGGATAGTACTGCATTGCAGATATATGCTGATTTTTCAAAACAACTCTTATTATTGATACCTCTAGGCTATGTATAGCTTTTTGCTCCTAAAAGAGTCCTACAATAGTTAGCTTTGACATACATTTTTTTGTGCATTTATGCAGGTATTTCTGTGGGATAAATTCTAAAATTGCTGGATCTAAGACTGCTCATTTAAAAAATTTGAATAGACATTGCCAAATGGTCCTCCAAATTATTATACAAATTTAACACCCTTTCCACACTGTGTGAAAGTAAACCGCTTCATTTTAGAGCGGAGACAACAGACGGGATGTGGTCGTGTGCATTCGGACGATACTAGGCACGGCCATAATGCAGGCTCCCTCCATCCTTGCCTACCTCCCACTTTTTCTTCCTTTCTAGTTTCCTTCCTTTTTCCTTTTCTTCCTGCTCTCTTCCCCTCTTCCTCCTTCCCTTCCTCATATCTTATTGCTTTGTCCAATGGGAGAAGAGACAGAGGGAAAATTAATGTGATGGCTAGTGAAGAATTCCTGAGGCATTTAGAGAACTGGACGAGAGCAGGGGATGGGCTCCAGCTGGAAGCAAAGCACTGGCTTCGGCAGCACAGACACTAAACTGGGCGGAGACAGGAAAGATTAGCATGGCCCCTGCACTAGGATGATGTGCAAATCCATAACGTGTTCCATACTTTTATGGTAACTACGTGAGGTGATGGATGTGGTAACTGACCTTACTGTGGTAATCATTTCACAGTGCATACCCACAGTGCAAATCATCACATTGTACATCTTAAACCTACATGATGTTATATGTCAAGTATAGCTCAATAAAGATGGGGAAAAAGTCAGAAGCAGAATGGAATGGGGGTACCTGGAAGTCTACAGTGTGGGGCAGTCAGACATACCAGGGAGGACAATTTGGATGTGCGTTCCTAACCTTCATGGGCCCAACAGTCACCTGGGAAACTCAGTAAAAATGCAGATTCTGAGTAGGCAGGTCTGGGGACGGGTTGGAGAGTCTGTCTGCCTTTCTAGTGGGTTTTCAGGTGATGCTGATGCTTCTGGTCTGGGACCGCACTCTGAGGAACAGGACTTAGCTGACAAAGCCCACGGCCAGCAACAACAGGCAGGGGCATTACCAACCCGTGGGCAGGGCGGGGAGCATTACTGCTAAGAGCCAAGAGCGCCTCCTGCAAATGTTACAGGGCGGTGAAGCAATGAGCTGGCTCAGTCACCACTGCTTCACCCATCAGAGTCAGCCTGGCCCACAGCGGCATCCAGACCAAATGCTACATTCAGACCTATGCTGATTTTTCCCACTCTTTCAGGAGCCCTTACCTTGAAATCAGATCATAGTTTATTTGCTTCATCTCCAAAACTTAGTAATAACTTCTGTCACACAGAGTCCCCCAACATTTCCTTGATTTACAAAATATCTGGTGTTGCTGACACTGTCCTAGGTTTAAGCGGTGATTGCCTGGGTGATTGCCTGCCGTGGGTTCAGTCCCGAGGGTGCCAACAACCTGTAGCTGGTGTGACCGAGGCCTCGCCTCATTATTTTCTATAGAGACGAGAAGAACAAAACGGGAACTATATCCTGAAGGCCTGGCATTAAAGTGGTTTCAGTCTGGGCTTTATAGCATCGCAGCTTCCTCTGGAATTAAACTTCCCCACATTCCACTGAAACGCTTTTTGAATACTGTTACATCCCAGCAAAATTTGGATTGTTAATGTATGTTTAGGAACCAGGGCATTTTTATACCTAATTCTGTGGGATGATTTCTTTGCCATCAGTCCTTTTAAGTGAAGGGAAATAGCAATGCTAACTTAAACAATTCATGAGCTTAAGCTGACAGGAACGCTTTTCACCTCTCTGATCCACGCCAGACAGTGTTTGATGTTGGGCCATCCAGGTTTTCCCTCGCTTGGTTCTGCCCAAGGAGAGAGGGACCGAAGATGCCGGGAGACACACACACCAGGGTGGGAGCAAGAGCTCGCGTTGGGAGCCTCAGGCTAACTAGTTAAGGCACGTTCTCCTTTTCAAAACATAATCAAAAGGACGAGACTCAGCACAGCACAGGTCTTCAAAACTTTGTCACCCGATGGAGCCATTGAATGTGCCCTCTGCGTCCATACCTAGGAAAGGCGTTTGCATTTAGGAAATAGGTTCCATGTGAGTAAAACGGTGCGTTCCGCCAAAGCCTGGGGGGATGTGCGGGGTTTGCTTTCTGAGTGATGGGTACAGGTTAAGGATACATGAGAAAAGTTTTTGATGTGCTTGTATTCTCTTTAAAATTTGCTCTAATTAGTGATTATTAAAATACGATGATTAGCAATTAGGTTGTTTTTATGCTTAATTCATGCCTTCATTTGCATTAAACAGTTCTAGCTGAGTAGAAAATCAGAGAAGCATAATGTTTCTTTGCGTTTTAAAAAAATTAGACTGTTTGAGCTATGTGTTTATAACCACCACACTACTGTCTGCCTGGTGTGTGAAAGAAAACAAACAGCTTTTTGAGAGTTATCTTTACATATGCACACGTCGAAAGACATACAAATCTTTATTCTTTGTGTTGATGAATTAAAAGAAACACGCACACAGGAGCTAGGCACCTGGCCAGACCCACTGAATGTCAAGACCCTTTCCCAGCAAAGATGCGGAAGAAGTTGCTCCAGTTTCATGGAGAAGCAGGAGCCATATAACCAGGGTCTGCTCCGAGACAAACATCAGTTGGCTGCTTCTCGAATGCACTCCAATCAGGGACTGAACGCACAACCGAGGCATGTGCCCTGACGGAGAACTGGACCAGTGACTTTTTGCTTTGTGGGATGATGTGTAACCAACTGAGCCACCTCAGTCAGGGCTATTCCTTAGAGAATTTAAGTCAAAATCTGCCTTCGGTTTTGCTCTTATCCCTTCTTCAAGCATCACATGCTTTTAATTAAAAAAAAAAAGAAGCAAACATTTAATTCTAATTAAAATCAACAGGTTGTAAATTCTCTGGGTCGCCCAAGTCTTACCTTTGAATAGAGAGTTAGACCCCGAGAAAACTATGTGGCTTAGTTCATCATAGGACAGCTTTTTATCACCAAAGAAGCCACCTATAGGAAATTCACATCTGCACTCCCTACAAAACCATTGCTGAGAATGCAACTTCAATAAATATGCTCTATAAAAAAAGTCACGCAAACCAAAGTGCCGTAGGTTCGATTCCCAGCCAGGGTACATGCCTGGGTTGCAGGCCATAACCCCCAGCAACCGCACATTGATGTTTCTCTCTCTCTCTCTCTCCCTCCCTTCCCTCTCTAAAAATAAATAAATAAAATCTTTATAAGTAAATAAATAAATAAATAAATGTAAAAAAAAACCAACACGTCATGTGAGAAGCTGTCTTCCTTGAGGAACTGGTAATATATTCACATTCTCTTTTAAAAGGTTTTATTTATTTATTGTTAAAGGGGAAGGGAGGGAGAAAGAGAGGGAGTGAAACATCAATGTGTGGTTGCCTCTTGTGCACCCCCAACTGGGGACCTGGCCTTCGGCCCAGGCATGTGCCCTGACTGGGAATTGAACTAACAACCCTTTGGTTTGCAGGCTGGCACTCAATCCCCTGCACCACACCAGCTAGAACCACATTCTTCATAATGAGTATTAGCAATTGTGTCATTCTTCCCTGTTCTGTCTTGGCTTCCTGGAAGTTCAAAACCAAATTATACACTCAGCCACAGCAATTATGTTCACACATTGACATCCTCACTTTTTCTCTGATCTTCATTTTCTCTCTCTGTTATTCCATTAATATTGCACTTGAAGTAACAATGGATTAAATGAACTTCTTTCAGGTGTTAGAGGCAATCCCTGATCAGCAAAATATGCTATTCATATGCACCAACTGATAACTTGATTTTCAAATCCTTTTGACAAAGAGTTAGCCAGCACCAAGGAGCTGCTGGCAGGTGAGAATTGTGCATCATGTGTAGCCTGGATCTAGGCACAGAGTGAGCCAGGCTTGTCCTGCTATCTGTCACAGGTGACACAAAGCAGGTAAGTTTGCTGACCACAGCTCAGAACACTCCCTCAGTCATGTTTGTTCCACATTAGAGGTCCTTTGGGCAGCATTTTATGGTAGTGTCTTGTTACATGTAAGTGCCTTCCAGGGACTGGCAACTGCCACTCAGGACCCGGGGGGAAAGCCAGCCATTAGAAAGTACTTGCATCTCAGATAAGGAAAACATCTGTTATGGGCTGAATTGCTTCCATCCTCCAATTCATATATTGATTGTGACTCTGTTTGGAGATAGGACCTTAAAAGAGGTGATTATGATTAAATGAGGCTTGTAATGTGGGTCCTAATCCAATCTGGCTGGTGTCTTCATAAGAAGAGGGAATCTGAACACCCAAAGGGACCCCAGACATGTGCACTCACAGAGGAAAGACCAGCTTAGCTTCCATCGGCACAGGACGGCAGAAAACACCCTCTCTCTCAAATGGAGTTGCACCACAATGACTCGGATTCTTCCAGTCTCTCTAAGGTTCTGCCTATTATTCTGAACCTGGCTCCACCCAGGATGCTCTGGCCGTTTCCTTTCCATACTCAGGTTGCATGAGGGTCATCACAACAGGGTCTAAGAAAAACAGCTGCAACTTCCGACTCTATCTCACCTTACTATGAAATTTAAATAGCATTTGTTTAGATTGTTTCTTTGCCAGTATCTTCATACTGTACTGTCGGAGAGAGCCCACCTCTTCCTGAGGTCCCGTGAGCCAGGAGCCCAGGTGTGACTGTTTACACCGCAGCTGAGAACTGAAGAGGTCGAGTGGCATGCTGGCTTTCGTCTTCTGATCTGACAAATTAAAAACTATTGCAGTCAAAACTCAACAAATAGGGCAATAAACAGAAGATTTCCTGCTGAACCTGCAGTACCTCGTGGCATTCTCAGCACTGAACAGATTGTAGATATTTCAAAATAATATAGAAACAGCTGTGTTCATTATTATAATTTTATCATAAATATGCTTAATTATTTCAAAATAATGCCTATTGCTCCCAGCTGGGAAAAGTACAGTTTTACTGAAAATCAGGCATGGTTTAAAAGGAAATCAAAGACATATAACATTTTGTTTATGGGTCTAAAATTAAAAAAAAATGAACAAGGAAGAATAAACAGGAGACACTAGGAATACTGAAGAAACCTTGGCACTATGAACATACACATTGCCCAAGAAGTACTTGAACTTGTGCCCCCTTCAATCCCCCAACTCCCCAACCTTGGACATCTGTTTGGCAGTTGACAGTAGCTAAAGAGGCCTCTTAGGATCATTTGCTTCAAAGCAGGATTTCAAATTTGTGTAGAAAAACAACTAACAGAAGCAGCATTTTCAGGGCCACTTGGACATCAACTCATCAAGTCAGGGGCTGAAGGATGGCGACCAAAAGGGTCAACAGAGAGATGTGAGGAGGGAGGCATCTGGCGTTGCCTGGGTCCCCACTTAGTACCAAATAGAGCACTATTTAGTGCTTACACGAATTATCCCTCTCTCTTCCAGGTGAATACACTAGACTTGGAGAGGCACAGGGACTTGTCTAAGACCACAGAGTAAGAAGAGCCTGTTGCGAACCCAATAGTTCAGATTCTTAAATCCACCTTCTGTCCATTACAGCAATTTACCTCTGATACCTCCACTGCCACTG